TGTAATGCACGTTTTTCTTTTTATAGACAGTTATTTCCTTAGCGTTGGCAATTTAATGCGCTGCATTATTTTAAGCCCTCCTGTGGCTTTGGGAGACAAGACAAAAGTTTAACCTATTTAATCTGCATATAAAACATTAGAAATTAGATATTTGTTTAATTTTAATTTTGTGTTTGACTGTTAAAACAAAAAATATTTGGGTTAAAATATTATAAATTTGGTTAATTTAAAAATACAGTGGTTAAATTTAAACGTTTTTTTCTATTGCTCTTTGTTTTAAAAAAGGTTATAAAAAATGTCAATAATTATCGATACCGAACGATATGAAACATTATATCGTTGATACATTTTTTAGCTATATCGCCCAGCTCTACGTGTGCACGTCTCAGACCTGTGAAGTATTTGCTGTAGTCCTGTTCGATCCTCTGCGCAGACTCAAACTGCTCTTTGGAATGTTTTTGGGACACTTTGTCTCGCAGATACACAGGGTCTTTCTGCTCCCTGAGTGAATAAAACACAGACTCAGTACAGACGCAGCTCCTGCAAGTCAAATACATCTGAAAGCACAGCTAAATGTTAATTTCTAGCGGCTAGGAGTCTAAGCAACTCCCTCATTAGCAGTAATCAAAGTCACTGACTAATTGAGCTCAGCCTGGCTTTAGTAGAGCGAGTCATTAGACTGATTCATAATAAAGAATAATTCAAAAATGAATCAGACATTGTGTTGTATGCAAGGGCAAGGACAATGCAATATAAAGATGCAAAGTCATTGAATGTAATGAGAGAGAGACTGAGCACTAATGGAAAAATGGATGTTCAGGACCAATACGAGACACAGATGAGCCTAAATGAGTGTTTGTTTATGTAAACATCCAAAGGCAGACGTCACTTACTTGATCTGCTTGGCGTTTCTGTATCGTATGAATATGACGATGGGGTAAATGTTGACGACGTGCAGGCGCTCGATGGCGTAAGGTGCGATGTCCAGCAGACAATGACAGTCCTGAGAGAAAGAGAGAGAGACCTCAGCACAACCTCTGGAGTAATATACAAATAAATGTGAACCTTTTGAAAATAAATGTAAATCTTTATAATAATAGATACATTCATTAGATTATTTACTCATGTTTAACATTAAGAAAATGAAAATTATTTTAGAACGATTAAGATTATTCAGAATTGATATATTATTTTAATGACAACATCCTAACAAATGTCCTCTTTTGTTAGTTGTTTTACAGAAAAAGTATCTGTTAAATGAATTATATATGCTTGCCAGATGCATATAAATGTCATGAAATCATGTACAGGTTACTTGTGGTTTCACCACAAAACAAAAATTACAAAAAAAAAAAATTATAGTAATATTTATTTACTATTACTATTGCTAATAGCGTTGTTTCATTAGAGTCTGGTGTTTCTCTCACCTTCTCTGTAATTTCCTTAATGGACGCCACCGTCGTCACATCAAAGTGGCCGCTCCGGCGCTTGTAATCGATGAAGAGACAGTCTTTGACGCCTCGCTCGATGGCCTGCTGGGTCGCCTTCATCCCCTCTGAACAACACCGAAGAGCAAGTGAGAAATCATTTGACATCATCTTATTATCCCGCAGTCAAAATTGAAAACCCAGTCATGGTCAAGTTGCTATGAATGTTTTAAACTCCATTACGAGTCAAATGTCAGTAGATCTCACCAGGTAAACAGCGGCAGTATTTCCCAGGAGCCTCTCTGAGCAGCATGTCTTTGATTGGCTCAATGAGGGGCCCCAGTATCAACACGGGCCTGCGATTGGTTGATTCCACTTTTAGCACGCGCTGATACGCCGGACTCAGACAGTCTGAACAAACGGAGAGTAAATGAGACGCTGAGGATAAGCGTGAAGTTTCACTCACTACACGTGTTGTTTCTCACCGTCCATGTAGGGCACGGAGTCTGTGCTGACGGCGTCTGCCGCCGGAGCGTCACGGCCGTCTTTGGAGCTGCTGCGTTTGTGTTTGAGTTTACGGCGGAAGAAGGATCGGCGCGCCGCGGCCGAGAGCGTTTTACCAGAGCCGCTGTCGTCCTTACCGTCTGTGACGCTGTACCGCCGCTGGGAATCTTGATCCATCCTACACACACACACACACACATACATACATACAAACACACACACGCACAAACACACACACGCACACACACGCACAAACATACACATACAAACACGCGCACATGCACGCGCACACGTACGTACGCACACACACACACACACACACACACACACACACACACACACACACACACACACACACACACACACACAACAGCTTATAAGACACATGCATGCTATTAGTGCTGTCACGATACTGGGATTTCTGACTTCAATACAATACCTTAAAAATTCTTGATATCCAATATCATTTTCAATACCTCGGGGAAAAACTGCCACAACAATAAGGGCATAAAATTTTTTATTTTTACCTCTGATAGTAAACTTTAGGGCTGCACAATTTGGTCAAACGTTCTGTGCTTATATATCAACATGAGTAATGATAATTATTATGATTACTGTTATTACTGCTAAAAAATAATAGTAATAATTTTTTTAAGGAAAACTACAGGGTGACCTGTTAACATGCAAGTTATTAGAAATGGTTTTATTATAAAATACTGTATTATCATGATAAAATCTGTGACAGTAATTTCTAAATTTTTGTCAGGAGGTATGCAAAAATATTAAACAAAAAAATTACTATTGTAATAACACCATTTCATATAAAATAAAAATAGAACAAATATACGATCATTAGGAATAGATATAATAATTAAGAATAAATATATTTAGATTATTATTATTATTTTACTTTATGAAAAACTATGGAGGAGGCCTATAACTATAAATTGTTACAAAAGGTTATATTATAAATTTTTATATTATTTATTCAGCACTTTCTTAATTTTTGTCATTAGGTATGCAAAATCAATCCATGTCTTTAATATGAAATATGAGCCTCTTATGAATCCACTAAGAAAAAAAAATACTATACCCTGGAGAAAAACTTAAGAATTTGCATGTTTACTTCACATTTCTTTAGAGAAAAGGATTTTTTTTTTTTTTCTATTTTTACTTAAAACGGTGGTGTTTACTGAGCACTACTGAGCACTATAAACACATGTAATGTATGTTTAATTCACACTGGAAGCAGTTTCAGATATATCAGTATCGATGTGTATCAAAAAAATGGATATTTCTGACAACGCTATATCATGTGCATCATATTTTAAACTCATTTAGAAGAATGAATTTTTCATGTTTAACTGTAAAACAACACCAGTGATGATTACATGAACAGCACATATAGACATACATGCACTTGCTGGGAACGTGTCCGCGCACCAGCTTCTGCGCGTTCTCGTCCAGTTGCCATGCCAACCAGTAGCCCAGATTCCCCCCGGGCAGCGTGTCGTCCACATAGAGAATATCATCCTTCTTGAAACTCAACTCCTGCTCCAAATCACCAACATGGTCAAACAACGCCCTGACACACAAAGAGATCGAGAGTAAGAATATGAAAAGCATCATGCAGACAAATGAGCAAGGCCATGATGATATATCTTAATATTTACTATTTGCTCCGTTTCATTTTAACCAAATAGCTATTGTGCTCAGTAAATATTTATATGTGACAGGGTTATTATAGTTACTGAAAACCAACATTAAAACCATTTTAAAAAATCATTACTTGAAATAAAAAAACAAAACATTAAATTAAATAAAGTAAAATTAAATTAAATTAGATAAATTTAAAAATAAACAAACAGATATATATATATCGATATATATCTCTTTATCTATATATACACTATTTTATTTCAGATAGACCTTTCTCATTTTCATTTAGTTTAAGTTAAAGTGCTAAAAGAACTAAAACAAAACCTTAATGATTAAAAAATGAATAAAAATCAAAAGTATATAGACATTCAAAAAAATTAAAAAGTAAACAAAAACAACAAAATTCTAAAACTTCAACGAATGAAAATAAAAACAGAAAATACATAAATATGGTAAAATATTAAATATTAATAAAACTACATTATATCATTTTTTTTATGTTGAGTAGTTTATATATTATAAACTCAAATAACACTGGTATGTGGTCTGTATTTAATACATAAACACATATGTTAAATTTAAACAAACAAAATAAATAATAGTAAACAGGGAAATAATTTTTATCCACCAATAAAACACCACATAAAAATAATACTTTTTTTAACACATGAAAACGTCACGTGTGGATCTCAAAAGACTAAAGAGGTCCATGAATGTAGTTGTGCTCTTTATAAAATGTTATGGTCAATTAAAATGTCCAGAAGAATTATTAAATATATCGCTCAGGGTAAACAGTCTGATTATCACATAATTAGCTCAGACAGGTTCATTAGGAATATGAAGCAAACAAATAAACTTTCTATAAAGGAAAATAATGATTGTACAGCTTAGTGTTGTTATTATACACAAATATTAGACCACAAAATGCAGCAAGCGACCAATCAGATAATAATTAATCTAGTCTAATTATTATGGGTTCCTGATTGACAAACAGACAGGGTTCAGTCTGTTACCTGATGTAAAAACCATCTCCGAGTGCGTCTTTGAACCTCCTGAAGTGTTCGGGTCGGTACTGGACTCTGAGGGTGACGTTCTCCGTGGGTTTCAGCATCTCCAGATACACCTCCTCAGCAGTCTTATTCTTCAAACTCACCGAGTTACACTGCAAACAGGAAATGACATCACAACACCATCCAGCACACTGTCAAACAGGGTAACGTGAGGCTGGTTCTGATCCTCTCTGCACCATCCAGACCAGTACCTCCAGGATCAGGTCTCCAGGCTGCAGGCCGTCGGCTCCTCGAGCAGGACTGTCCTCTTCTAGAGCCTCCACGAAAACCCCCGTCAGGTTTCCTCCACAGATCTTCAGCCCCAGATCCACCTGAGTCTTCCTCAGCACCACCAGCCTCAGCTCCGCCTGCTTCCTGCCCTTGCTCCGATCACTGGCCAATCACAGAGCAGAGAGCACAGTTAGACCAATCAGAGCAGTGGGCGTGTTCAGGATGCAACATTGATGACAGTGAGAGAAAAATTACAAAAAAAAAGTACAAATGTTTTCACAAACAAATCTTTTTGAGATTCATCAGAAACATATGTAATACAATGTATTCTCAATCTATACATAAATGTAGGAACAGCTGAAATCACACATGCAAAAAAAAAAAAAAAAAAATCCTGGGAAGTGATATTGTTTTTATTAATATTTTGCATCAGTTTTTTTATTTGTACAATTTCGGTTTTCATAATTTCAGTTAAAGTTTAAGTAATTTTGTTGTGTGTTTTGGTCATTTTTAGTAGTTTCTGTTTTTTTATGTCTACATAGTTTTTATTTTATTAATTTATTTTTATTCTTATTATTTTCTTTTTAATTATTTTAGTATATCAAATTATACTAAATTAAATGAGAAATGCTGCCTTGGCAAATAGCTGAAATTAAAAGTTTTTAATTATTTTATTCATTCATTAATTAATTTATGCATTTAGTTTAATTTAATTTAACTGGGTTTCTGCAGGTGTTGCGAAGGTAAACTTGAGACCTTTAAAGGACCTTTTAAGACCAAGTAAAGAAAATGTAAGGAATAAAAGTACCTTTTGATTACACCACACAAAAGTGATGTTTATCCTCAGTATTTGTCTTGTCTTCCAGTGCAAATGTTTTAAGACTCAATCATACATCGAAGAATTCTTGTTTTATGAATGATGATAATAAAGTGATCAAAATAAAGCGAGTTTATGATTAAAACAGGAACAAATTTCAGTCAATGGGCTCAGAAAAATCTAATTAATTCAAAGGGAAAACAAGTTTTCATTCCCCAGTGACAGATATTGGTTATTATTTTAGGCATAAACTCCCTTAATTTTGCTCAATTTCTCAGAAAACAAAACTTGATTTAAAGCTGCTGTCCGTAAGTTTGCCTCTTTGTCGCCATCTCTGTTTGAAACCTGCAATTGCAGTTACTTGCGGAATTATTTTCATTACGTGGGTTGTGCACCGGCACGGCTCCAGCGCGGATTAATCTAATGTTTTGAGTTGAATGTGTGGCTACGTCTTGGAAGATATAACCCAAATAAGAATTTTCACTGGATATTGTCATCTGAACAAGTTAACAAGTCTGCCAATTTTGTTCTGACCAACTGAGGAAAAAAGCATTACAATAAATCGCGCTACCAATGGTGATTTAATCTAACGATCGATTAGCTCATATCACATCAAACCGTTCAAATTATTATTATTGTTATACTTTGTTCTCAAATTGTTCATGTTAACAACATCAGCATTGCGTGACTACGTGTGCATTAGCGTGTAGATTTCAATTTCTGTACAGTCTAATCTCTAATTGTTATATCATTCGAAATTATTTTAACCAAAAAGCAAATTATTCTTCCTTCGAACTGGTTGTCTTTAAAATACAAATCCTGTGTAATCCCAGGCTATCTTTAATCAGATGCACATTTAAAACTGGAATAATTCAATTTCATTCACATGTGTTTCATAAACACATAATCCTTTTAGGGCTGGAACAATAAATCGATGCATCGTGATTCGTGGATCAATTCTGAGATTTTCGGAATACATCGTGATTCTCTCTGGAAGTCTGAGCTTAGTTTAACAGCAGATGGCGCTCTAGGCTAGTTTTTAACCACACACTCAAATACTCACGAAGAAGAGCGTGTGCACGTTCGGCTGAGTAATAGTGGTTAAATGTACTTGCACATCGGCTTTTATGCTTTTATGATGCGAGATTAATGTAAACACAGCCCACTGTGAACATCCTTGTAATTCGCTTCAACCTTTTCGAACTTTATAAATGATTATTTTAGGTTCAAATGGTGCGTGTGTTAAGGAACTGGAAGCAAGCAGAATACGGCTATTTCTAAAGCACACAGTGCCATCTGCTGTTAAAAAATAAGCTCAGAATCGATTCAAAAGAGAATCGCGATGCCTTCGGGAAATCTCAGAATCGATGCAGAATAATTTCTCGATTCACGATGCATCGATTTATTGTCCTAGCCCTAAATCCTTTCTGGATTACAATCCGCCATCAAAATGATAAGTATAATTATTCCAGCTGCAGTGAGAAAAGGCTAACGATCCGCCACCTGCAGCATCCTCACATGCGATAGTCTACTAGCCGGGACTCAATCTTTATGTTTACAGACGTGACGTAAATGCTGACAGCATGCTCGAATTTCCCATGAAAACCTACCCGTACCACTCAAATTAGAAAACATTATTATAAGCTAACCGTTGTGAATCGGGCTAAAGTAAGGCGATAGTTTTGAACACTGGCTGGTTATGCACTTGCTCAAATATTGATTTCGGATCATTTTTAACCAAAAAAAGTTACGGAATGCAGCTTTGATTTAAGGATGTTCAGATATTTGTATTAGACAACAAAACAAAAATACTGAGGAAGATATTTATTTCTTTGCAATGTATGCAACATTTAATGCCATTGCTTTATGAATTTAAGACTTTCTGCTCCGATTTAAGACCTTTTCAAGCCTTAATTTGTGGAAGGGTGAATTAAGACTTTTTAAGACCACCAGAAACCCAAGCAGAAAATTTTCCCTTGTATGTATAAATATGAAGTAATCCACGCAATTCTTAGCGAAGGAGAGCCAGAGTGTTTGTTACCTGAGAGGGCTGGCTGTGGGCGTGGCCTGTTTGGAGGGCGGGGTCATGGTGCCCTCGTCCTGTTCGCTGAGCGTGTCGATGTTGGAGTGCGTGTCAGGCATCGAGTGAGAGCTTATAGACGACTCCATCCGGGAGCTGACAGAAATGAACACGTCAGGACACTCATACAGTGCTTCTAAAGCATGACAGAGTCACGTGTACTGTGCGCTGTACCTCGAACGGGAGTGATTGCCCAGCTGGTGCATGTGTGGGTTGTACTGTGCCAGTATGGTGATGGTGTCACACTGCTGCCCAATGATGAGTCTGGCCTGCTGCTCAGTGGCGTTCCTGAGATTAATGCCGTTAAACTGCGGAGAGACAGAGAGAGATTCACACGTGCTCAATGTAACGATAAGCTCTGTATTTCTCCGAGTGTCTTCTGACGCACCTCCAGCAGCTGATCTCCAAACTCCAGGTGGTGCTTCTGAGCGATGCTGCCTCCCGTTACCTTGGAAACAAAGATGCCGCCATTCTCCCCACCCACTATAGAGATGCCCAGAGGCTCCGCCCCTTTGGGGATAGTGACACATCGCGGCTCCTCTATGTATGGCCTAAAACGCAAAAACACACAATATGGGCAACCAGTCTCAGAGGAACAAAACAGAACCAAACTATCACAATCGCTCACACATGCATTTACTGCCATTTTCGGTTATTTACAGAATAACAGATTCGTGTTCATCTATTGCAGGGGTGCCCAAACTCGGTCCTGGAGGGCCGGTGTCCTGAAGAGTTTAGCTCCAACCCCAATTAAACACACCTGAAGCAGCTAATCAAGCTCTTATAGGCATACTAGAAACTTGAAGGCAGGTGTGTTGAGGCAAGTTGGAGCTAAACTAAACAGCTTTGTACACAGAAATGCGTTATTCAGGAGTGTAAAGTGACATGATAATTGGTGGATATGCTGCAAATAATTGATAGTCAATCAATTACAATGAAAGTAATTATAATTTAAATATTTCAGTGATAAATAACCAGTGTTGGGGAAAGTTACTTTTAAAAGTAATGCATTACAATATTGCGTTACTCCCTAAAAAAGTAACTAATTACCTTAGTTATTTTTTATGGAAAGTAATGTTACACGTTACATTTGAGTTACTTTTTAAATCTGGGCAGGGCTTGCGTGTTTGTTTTTAATATAAAAAAGTTATTTTACAAATGTAAGTGAATACACCTCAGGCTGAAGGAAATGTAAATGCATGTCTGTACAGTAGAGGGCGCAACAAATGCAAACAAATTGCATAAAAAATATGACGCATGAGAAGAAAGTTCAACACTACTCGGCAATAACAAAAATGAAACACAAATGTGTCATTTTTGCTTATTAGTATGGCTGAATTGGATCAAAGGTCAGTAGCAAAGACATTGGTTCAAAAAATGGGATTAAATACATAAATGATATTTGTCTTATTTAACATATTTAATTATTGCAGGTTTGTATAACATTCCGAGTTTCATTTGAGTTTTTTTTTTCATTTTGAGGAACACTGAATCTGTTTTTGTGCAGGTGAGATGAGTAAATACATGTTCATATTTATTCTAGAACTACAGTAAGATCATGTTCACACACAACACTCTGCACTTACTCCTGATTTCTGTCACCGTGGTAACACGAGAGCTGTCAGTCAATACATGCGAAACAAAGTAACTGGAGCTACTTATTTGAAAAAGTAACTCAGATATTTCCTTCTAAATTAAAAAGTAATGTGTTACTTTACTAATTACTTAAAAAAAGTAATCTGATTACATAACTTGTAATGCGTAAGCCCAAACACTTTAAATAACAGCATGTCACAGATGCTTTCTAAATATAAATTCAATTTATTCATAATATAGGAATACTGGATGATTATTTTCATTATTATTGATTATTGATGATTATACATATCATTGAATAGTTGATTCAGCCCTAAGCTACCTTTGGTGGTAAATAACAGCTGGTCATACTTCAATAGCGTGCATTTAAAGGAAAGTGACATGACATAAAAACGGGGGGAAAGCAATCATATCAAAGAAATTCCCTTAAACAGGAAAAAGTTTGTTTTTTTGCTCTCATTGCACAGTGAACAAACCTCAGGGTCCGTAAAGAGGCAAACCACGATCTCTGAGCTCGAGAAAGCTTCAGGTAAGACCTGTTACGCAACGAGCATCTGGAGCAGAAGGAGAACAGAGAGAGAAATGGGGCAGAAGAGCAGACAGACTAGAACGGAGAATAAGGAGTCAGACAGATCTGAGCTAAATAAACTACGAGAGGAAGAAGAGGAGGACGAGAACAGCACAAACTACTGAATGCAAGATGAAGACAAATGCATATTTACTCAGCCTCATGTTATTATAAACCCATGCGATTATGTTTCGAACGTCAAACTCAAAACGTGCCATATTTGATTTCAGAGCTTCAGTAAATGGTTATGAATTTGAGTCTGTTTCTCACATAAAGCATAATATGACTTCAGAAGACTTGGAATGCACAAGTCTGAAAATCTTCTTGTATTTTTTTTTGTAAGATTCTTCCTCTTCTCTGTGTTGTATGGAAAAATATTAGCACAGGTTTGGACCATTATGAGGGCGAGTAAATGATGACAGAGGGTTACATTTTTATATTTCTATTTCTACCTGTCCCTCCTCCTGTCTATTGGCACAGGGCTGACTGACAGCCTGGTCTGGGCGGAGACGGAGCCCTGTGATTGGCTGCTGCTGAAGGAGGCGGCGTCCAGAGGAGAGAGGGGCGGAGTTACCAGACTAGGGCTGCTGCAGTCTGAGTGAGACAGAGATCCTGAAACACACAATTTGTAGAATTATTGGTACATCCATCACTCATGTAACAGCACAGGAAGTATGATGTACATCAGAGAGATCAGCACCTCTATCAGAGCCGTGAGCGGATCGCGCGTAACGAGGGGTGGAGGGAATCTTAATGCGCTGCTCGCGGTACTGAGACAAACCTATGGACACAAACACAAAATCATTAGCTGCCCACTGCTCCAGGTGTGTGTTCACGGTGTGTGTGTGTGTGTGTTTGTTCACTACTCACTGCTGTGTGTGCACTTGGATGGGATAAATGCAGAGCACAAATTCCGAGTATGGGCCACACATCACGTCCTACATTTTAGATTGTGTTTGTCACCCACACACTTTTGATTAATCAATAAAGATTTTACATTAACGGTTACGATTAAAGTTTTGCCAATCACTCACAACAGATTTTATCACTAATTAAACTGAAATTAAAAACAGGGATGCAAACTCATCAGGGTGCAAAAGGTGATAAAGTTGCAAACCCACTCATGGGGCATGCTTATAATAATAATAATAATAATAATAATAAAAATAATAATAATAAAAGGAAAATATAATAATTAAACAAATAAATTAATATATTATAGTAACAGTACTGCATTGTAAAATAATAAAAACTGTATTTAATATTAATAATATATTTTTTAATATTTGTATAATTTGATAAAATTATAATAATAATAATTTACTAAACAACATTTATATTATTATTAACTTAAATTATTAAAAATACACCAATAAATACATTTTTATTATTATTATTATAGTATTACTATAGCACTGTAAAATATAAAAAGAGAATTTTATATAATAATAATAATAATAATAACAATAATCATCATCATCATTTTTATTTTACCAAACAAAATGTATAGCAGTCTTCATTTTTTTTTTTTTCAAACATTAAACCATAGAGCTTCTATTGTGTCGGAAAAATACAGGGACACCTTAGAGTTTCTCTAGTGTTGATAAGTGGCAATTAGTGCATGTTATGCTCACTACAGAACATCATCAAATAGTGTAGCATGAGAAAGCACTGCTGGTGTGTGTGGCGTGTCGAGTACAGACCCTGTCTCGCGCTGGAGGGCAGGGAGTTGGTGTTGTGTTGAACCGAACCGCGGGAGCCGTCGAAGAGCTCACCGGAGCGCTTGTGGTTGAGATCCACACTCCATCGGCCCTGGTGCTGCGGACTGAAGAGAACAGACAGAGAGTCAGCGTCTTGCATCAGGACAGATGTGATACATCAGAGTGTATGCGAGTCTCACAGAGTGAGTGTGAGTGTGTGAGTGTGAGTGTGAGTGTGTGTGAGTGAGTGTACCTGACTTGAGTGTATGTGTGTGCTGGAACTGAAGCAGAGTTGGTGGTTTTGACGCAGTGACTCCGGGCCGTGTACACTGGGTTCCTCATCACTGCGGTCACAGCAGGGTAGGGAGACAGCGTTCTGGGAGTGGTGTCTAGACACACACAAATACACCAATAAATGTTTTTGACATCACACAAAGAAAGAAAATAATTTTAACATACAGAAGCATCAGGCAAAACAGCTTGTTTTAAAAAGTCATACAGAGGAAATCAATGAAAAATCAATAGATTTCACTGAATAGAAAACAGCATGAACATCTACTTTTGTGTTAGGGATGCACCGAATTTTCGGGAACTGAAATTATTCGGCCGAAAATAGAAAAAAAAAGCTCTTTCGGTGTTTGGCCCGAACAAAAAAACGAATAAATTGTACCGAACAATGACGTGACGCGATCAAATAGAGGTGCGCACTAATGCAGCAAACATGCCGGCAGTGTGGAAGCATTTAAAACTGTCCAAGAAAGACGCATTAATCATTACAAGCATCGACAGCGAGAGATTGCTTAGTGCTGCATCGCATATCTCAGATGAGAAGAGGAAGTGGTTATTGTTGATGGTTACTGTATGATGATTGAAATCGCGAAATGGCCTCAAACGATTAGTAAATAAACTGCAGAATGGTATGTTTTCTAATACACGCACGAATTGCATGTATTCTGACAGCGCTGCAAGAGCTCGCGGCACTATCTGCTTGTTAACCAGGGTTCAAAGTCCAAAGCGCGAGGAAAATCTGCACTGAAACAGTTACTAGTCAGTTGCTCAGTAACATTTTTATGAATTTTTACAAGGCATGGATGTGACAATGTGATACGTGCAACAAGCTTCTTCCCAAATTCTTAATGAGAATCATTTATAAATCTGCTGTTGTCAACAAAAAGAAGCACCGAGGTCATCCTGGGGGTTTCCACCAAAATAAAAGCTCTATCAACATTCATAAATCTTTTAATATTGTAATTTTACTGTTGTTCCGTAAAATAAAAAGACAACAATAATGATAATAATAATTACAACAGCTATATTAATACATTTATTATAACATTCACACATAGTGTTCAAATCTGTAATAGATTTGTATCTGTGGGATCTGAAATATTTTAAAAAGAAGTCTCTTCTGCTCAGCAAGGCTGTATTTATTTGTACAGTAAAAGAAATACATGCCTGATTCAAGAAGGGGGTCTCAAAAATTACCAAAAATATTTTTTTACTAGCTTATTAATTTTAAGTTAAATTGTGCTTTGTTGGTATAATGTCTGCTAGAATGTTTAGTGTTAAGTAAATATTTTTTAATTATTGTTTTGTAATTAATTTTTTCTTTGAAAAAGCAAGACAAAACAGTAAAAATCTAAATGTGGGCATTTTATTTATGCAATGGTGAAAAAAATTGGCAAAATACATGGGGAAAATTTGGTTTGGTATTCGGCCTTCGGCCCAGTGTTTCATTTTGTTCGGCTTCGGCCAAGAATTTTCATTTCGGTGCATCCCTATTCTGTGTTCTACATTTTCATTTTTGACTATTCTTTCAGCTAACTTAATTGTGTCAAACTCACGTGCTTGTACAGGCGAGAAGCTGTGACGGTTTGAACGGAAAGGAGAAAACCGAACCAGATCCACAGGTTCGGGAGACTGTTCATCCTGAGAGAAGCTCTGCAGCAGCGGAAAACAGATTGAGTGTTATAAACCAGGTTGACTACCTGCAATGCTGCTTCTGAATTAGAGGTACAGTATCAGTTAGGAGTTGCACAGATCAGTTGGATATTATATATTATGTACATTTTTAAATGTGAATTTAATAATAATAATAATAATAACAACTACTGATTTAAATAACTGAAATAAGGAATAATTTGAATACTAATAAAATAAATATTTTAAATAATAAAAAATATATAAATATAAAAATCTAAAATATTTTGTTAAATGATAAATAACTACTTCATTATTGATATTTATCATTTAAATGGACCTTTTTCACACTTCCTGGTTTCTCAGCAGCAGAAGTCGTCATAGTTGGGTTAACTTGAAGAGCAGTGAATGGACAAATATATTTTTTACATTCCCATTTGCTCAAACAGCAAAAGAAAAAAAACTCAGCGATAGTGTTTTCATGACTTTCAATAAAAGGAAAAAGATTGAGAGACTCCCATAGACACTGCATTAGAAACACCCTCCCATTAGCATTGACTGTTTTTTTTGTAATTTGATGCAAAGGTAATATAATACAAAGAATAGTGTTATAAATGTACATACATTTAAAAAAAAAATACAAATATGAATAACTTTTGAGGATTTACAATACTGATGACCGTTAAACGCGCCATCACAGTTTTGTGAAAGGGTCATATTGGCTATCCAATACAGCCAAAACCAGTGAATTTCCATGAATTTCAGTTGCTCATGATTACTGCAAAAGTATTTTTTACTAATTTAATTTTCTTGTAATATTGAAATTATAAAAATAAAACAAATCAATAAAGAATACTTTTATTAAAATATATTACTATTGCAATAAAAATAAATGTGTATTTAATAATACTACTACTAATCATAATAGTTACTATTATAATTAGTACTATTATTATTATTGTTGTTGTTATTGATATTTATAATTTTAACAATAAATAATCAGACTAATAAAATAAAAAAGTGTGACTAATAACAATAATAATTATTATTATTCTCATTTTATTCAAACCAATATTTTAATGATTATTTCAATTCTAAAAATTAAACAGATCAATAAAGAAATATATTGCTACTGCAATAATATTGTTGTACTGCAAAAAATAATAATATTAGTTATTTTACAGAACAATAGTAAAATTACAATCCTAATATTTCTGGCTGTCATTTATTTGATGCTTTGTCTACTAGTTGTGGATCACATGGCTTCAGGTGTGTTTGTTCTATATGGTGACAGCAGGAGGAAAAACTCCTCTGGACGACTAGTTGATTAGTAGTTGAGCAGTACTCGAGCAAGTCTGATAACCTGTAGCGTTACAGGTGTGTTTAAGACGCAGTACCTGTGGAAATGGCATCTTAAGCGGCGTGAGGTTGCGGCGCTGTGCGGGTGCAGAGTTTGGTCTTCCTCTCCTCACCTCCAGTTCATCTGAACCCTGTCCGGACACTTCCTCCGCAAACGACCCTCCGGCGCCGCCAGAGCCCTGTCTCTGAAGCACGTTCCCGTTGCGGTCTCGGCTTTCAAAATCAGGACTGGGTTTGTCTGTGGGCGTGGTCTGAATGGGCGTTGCCGGGGGCGATCCGGTGGTGATGGTGGAATCGGAGGCGGAGCTTCCCTGCGGCTTGTGTTTGAACTTGAAGGAGTCGCTGCGTTTGGGCGGGTCCGGCGGGATCTGCGGCGCCGCCTCCGTCCAGGAGCTCTGTGGGGAATGTTTGGGCATCTGGGACAGACTGAGGTAGTCCAGCTTGGAGGGCGTCTCTGGCCGCTTGAACATGTCTGCGTCGAATATCGACTTCCGCTTCTTTGGGGTCTTAAAAATAGAGAGTGGTGGGATGCTGTCCGTTGGTGTCATTGCAACTGCTACCATTTTGGGCCACGTGCCGCCGCTTTGCTTATGCGGGATGCACCGTCTCTCCTGACTCATCTCCACGGTGATGCAGTCGCCGGGGGAAACGGGGTGAAAGGTGAGGGGTCGTTTGGAGGTGGGATGTGGGCAGCAGATCTCATGATACGGCTCTGAGCGATACAGCGTCCCGCGCTGACCGCGCTCGCTCTCCACGTCACGCGTGGGGCTGTACATGTCTTTATGGGTGGCCTGCTTCCTGCAGGGCCGCAGCTGATCCGCTGACTTCCCATTAGAGCTTCGTTCACAGTCGCGCTGGCTCTCAGCGATGCTCTGACCCGACAGACTCTGTGGGAAAAACTGGGATACGATAACAGAGTAAGCTGTAGTGGTAGTGGAACGGATCATAGTTGATCCGTGATAGGGCTGCGACGATAAATCGATGCAGAATCGATTCTGAGATCTTCCGAATGCATCACGATTCAATCTGGATCTAAGATTTTAACAGCAGATGGAGCTCTAATCTAGCTTTTATCCGCACACTCAAATGCTCATGAAGAAGTGCTGAAGAGCGCTTGTGCGTTCGGCCGAGTCGTGTAATTTCACCTCGGCTCAGAATGCTTTTATGACGCCAGATTAATGTAAATACAGCCCACTGTGAACACCCTTGTAATTCGCTTCAACCTTTTTGAATTTTATGAATAATTATTTTAGGTTCAAGTGTGTGTAAGGATTTGGAGACAAGCGGAGTACGGCTGTTTCTAAAGCATGCAGCGCCATCTGCTGTTCAAAACTAAGCTCAGAATCGACTCGAGAAAGAATCGCGATTGCGATGAAAATCTCAGAATTTATGCTGAATAATTTCTCGATTCGCGATGCATCAATTTATTTTCCCATCCCTAATGCGTGGATCCTTGGATTAATTGCGAAATGTAATCATAATAGAGTGAAAATTTATCAGTTGTACGTGTTTACACACATAAGTGATTTTAAACCATTCCAGCAAAAGAAAAGGCGAAATGGAACTCGATTCGTTACTCGCGCGTTGTTTTCTATGTTTACAGCAACACACACATAAAACGCATACGCAGAGTTTGACTGCGAACACCGAACTGAACCCTCTTTTGTATCTCATTCACTCCATGCCTTTGAACAGACACATATACACATAAAATCATGACAAAACACAGATCTCGACAATCATTCTGGTAAAAGCAGTCAGTTATGTCTTAAGTGAACTAGAACAGCTGAGAAAGAAATCGGATGTGTATCATTATATTGGATCCGTGCATCAGGTCTTAAAGGGGCAGCAGCCTAATAATACCTGCTGCTGTCATTATGCTCATCAAACCACAAAACATATTTTAAGCTCAGAATCGACTCGAGAAAGAATCGCGATTGCGATGAAAATCTCAGAATTTATGCTGAATAATTTCTCGATTCGCGATGCATCAATTTATTTTCCCATCCCTAATGCGTGGATCCTTGGATTAATTGCGAAATGTAATCATAATAGAGTGAAAATTTATCAGTTGTACGTGTTTACACACATAAGTGATTTTAAACCATTCCAGCAAAAGAAAAGGCGAAATGGAACTCGATTCGTTACTCGCGCGTTGTTTTCTATGTTTACAGCAACACACACATAAAACGCATACGCAGAGTTTGACTGCGAACACCGAACTGAACCCTCTTTTGTATCTCATTCACTCCATGCCTTTGAACAGACACATATACACATAAAATCATGACAAAACACAGATCTCGACAATCATTCTGGTAAAAGCAGTCAGTTATGTCTTAAGTGAACTAGAACAGCTGAGAAAGAAATCGGATGTGTATCATTATATTGGATCCGTGCATCAGGTCTTAAAGGGGCAGCAGCCTATTATGCTCATCAAACAACAAAACACGTTTTTGACAAAGATGAATCTATTGTTTTATTTATAGACTGAACACTATGCAGTGTTATTTTAAACTTAATTATTACATTTCCGTACCGGAATACTACCGACCTTATTTTATTTGTAACATTGTTCTTTTGTATTTATCCATGCTTGTAATTTGTGTATTTGTTCTTATTTTTACTGGCTGTTCACTTGTCTCTTTAATAATGTTTGAACTTTCTTAGGCTAAGAGTGTTTGCTGTGGTATCGTAGAAGTACTTATGGAAAGCAAAGTTACATTGACATATTTTTTTTATTTTCTTGCTGATCCGTGGCTCAAAAGGCTCAAAAACCGTAATATGATCCGAACCGTGAGATTTGTGATCAATAATGTTTCACCTTCAGGAGGGAAAGAGAAACCGAGTCTCTGCAGCTCCGCAGGAGATTCTCACATTCGCTCACAGATTTGTTATCCAGCGAAATCCCGTTTATCTGTCAGAGAAAATTAAACGGTCTTTAAATACAGCATGACATATTCATTTACCTCAGAGATCTCATTCTGTATTGCCTGCATTTATTCTAATCAGCCAATATACATGCAAATCAACCTCTGCTCGATCGACCAGTCAGAGCTTCCCATTGTAGGAGTACCGCCCACTTTTTCAGCAGCTTGGGAGCTGGATGCATTTTTCTCATACCTGTTCTCTATAGGCATTTCAAAACTTTAAGCCCTGAACCAAACATTTAGCTCTGACATGAACATTACAAATTATGATATGAAGGAAAAAAGTATATGAAATGAATAAAAGGAAGAAGGCTTTGTACTTTAATTGTTTCTGTATATAAAAGGATTGTGTACTTAAATTCTTCAATGATTGAACATCCCATGAAGCACTGCCATGAAAAAAGCAGGCATGTGATCAAAATGACAAAAATAAGGAGAACATGCTTTAACTCATCATAATAATTATTATTATTATGAGGGGAAACAATAATATTAATAATAATCATCATAATATTATTATTATTATTATTATTATTATGCAAAGTATCATATTTAAATTATAAAAAATATAATATAATATAAAAATAATAATAATTATTATTATTTATTAAAAATAATATTGTTATTTATTATTTAAGTTATATAAATGAATCACATCAATAAAAAGCATATTACTATTGCAATGCTGTTGTTTTGTAAAAATAAAAAAGTTTTTTTTTTTTTTGAACAATAGTAAAATTAAAATCCTACTATTTATGGCTGTCTTAATTTCTTTACTTTCAAGTGTTAAAGCATAGAGCCTTTATTTTGGCAGAAAACTGATTTATAAACAGATTTATAAATCATTCTCATTTCAAATTTGGGAAGATGTTTGGAAAAATTAAATATGTTTGTTTAAATAAACTGAAAATGAAAATGCTGTTTTTTCCTCAGATTTATGCAATTCAAGTGGGTCATACTTTAGGTAAAAAATAATAATAATAATATGTACAAGCACTGAAAAAGAAAATCACATCCCTGATAAAACTATTCACAATAACTTATTATTTATAAACAGAAAAAAATGTATGTTTAGGGATCAATCAGAAATCAATTACATCACTATCTGCCAATCAGATTCCTGGAGAACTGCTGCTGAAGAAAAGAAAAGCACACGAGTCGACTCACATTGAGAAGCCGATCGCCGGGACACACCGATCCATCTCTGGCCGCTGGACTGCCTGGAGAAACAGACGACACAAACACGCCACTCTCCAACCCAACGCCACAATCTGAAGTATAGACAGACAGAGAGAGAGACTGTAGAGATGAAGAGAGCTGATCTGGTGGACGTCCTGAAAGACAAAGCCCCACGATCTGACCTTTATGTCCCGTCAGCGTCAGATGAACAGAAGTGACCATCCGTCCTCCCAGAGACTTCCTCCTGCGCACCACCATATTGATGACTCCGCCCCCGCTGAACACCGCCTTTATGACCTGCTTCCTGTCCTTATTGGCCAGATCCACGTCATTTATCTTCAACAACCAATCATTCACTCTGCCATAAGAATAAACGCTGGTTAGAATTGGGGCTGCACGATTAATCGAATGCGATCATCATGCGCATCTTGTCAGTAAAGCCGGTTCTGTGATCAGTAGTAAATCTCTCGATTTAATCACGCGATAATGAAATCGAAGAAATCGTTCAGCGATAGTGAAAGTTGTTCGGGTAGCTTCTCAGTGAACTACGGCTGTGTAGTAAATGCTGCTCCATCTACAAGCACGTGAAAATACCACATTTAATAACATGTTTTTACTCCAAACTCACTTCATAACGTCAGTCGAGTGTTTGAAATAAATCCTTCTGTGAGATGATGTGGCTTCTTAGAATAAGGCACGCAACATATTTCATAGTATTCTACGCAGTGATAATAGCATTGCATTATTATATACTTTATTATGATGAAAATTATCATAATAATTATAATAGGAACTCAGATCAATCATATATTGTCATAGTCCTGTGTTTATTAGTCACGTTGAATCAATGAAAGCAGTTAAATCTTCTGTTTATTCAGCTACCACTATAGGGATTTCCTGGATTTCTTCTGCAGGGCGTCTTTGGAGTTTCTCTGGCCTTCGGATGGAGATTTACTACTGATCACAGAACCGTGCATCACTGACAAGATGCGCATGACAATCGCAGCTTCTGCCTAATCGCAATTACAATTTAATTTCTATTTATGGTGCAGCCCTAGTTAGAATCACACACGGCCGTTTCACAGGAGACACTGAAAGCCGAGTCCGCCTACCTTAACCTGCCCTCCGCAACACTTCCTTTGTCCACCTTGCTCACGAATATCCCATAATCCCCGGGTAGATACGGGTCACTCACTCCCTCGGCGATATCAAAACCCAGAGCGCTCAAATCCATGTCGTCCTGTACGTCAGATCAGAGACGGTGAGGTGTTGAACTCATTTGGAGGTTCGTCACAGCTGTGACGACTCGATTACGTACCGTACTCCTCTCAAACTCCACCGTCTCCGTCTCCCACTCCAGAGAGTCCGTATCGATGGCCGAGTCATGGGAATTGTGGGCCATCAGCTGGCGGAAACGCGCCTCCTTCTCCAGCTGCTCCTCCATGCATTCCCTGAACACACATTTTAGGAAAATTCACCCAACTTTTGTCATCATTTACCTCAATGGCTCTGTGACCGATTCAAGATTCATGATTCATTCTTTAAAAGAGTCATTTGTTTGGGAATCAAACTACTTTGATCGCACTTGTTAGTTTCTTTTGTCATGGTGTTGTAGATTTAAATAAAGGACAATTTTCAATCTGGTTTCCGCATCACATTACAGAGACAGCGCTCATTAATATTATAAATGATATTCGCTTAAATTCTGATTCTGGCAAAATATCAGTGCTGGTATTATTAGATCTCAGTGCTGCGTTTGACACTGTCGATCATAACATACTTCTAGAGAGACTGGAAAACTGGGTCTGGCTTTCTGGGATGGTTCTCAATTGGTTCAGGTCATAATTAGAAGGGAGAGGTGATTATGGGAGTATAGGAGAGCATAAGTTTAAGTGGACATCCATGACATGTGGAGTCCCACAAGGCTCAATTCTTGCTCCGCTCTTGTTTAGCCTGTATATGCTCCCACTAATGGCTCGTTTCCACTAAGCGGTACGGTTCGGTACAGTACAGTAGGGTACACAATTATGTCGGTTTCCACTGTCAGAAGTTGTGAATGGTACCAAAATAGCGAACCGTACCGTACCACTTTTTTGGTACCCTTCCGTCGGGGTACCTAGCACAGCAAAGGGTACCAAAAGGGTGGAGCTAAACTCACCGCAGAACGTTGATTGGTTGACTAGAATCGTCACTTTTGCGTGATACAAGGGGATAAAGCATCCTTCCCTCGTTCCGCTTTGCTGTCCATGAGTGTTGGGCTTATTTACATCAGAGTGCGCAAACACAAAAAAATATAACCGTGTATTTTATAATTGTATATTTTCACACAGACAATAGCCGTTTCTCAATATGCGTTCTTGTGGACTTGTGAAACGTCATTGCCCAAAAACACGCGTAATTTTCTAAATATTACTGTTATTGCGTCATGAAATGTAGTTTTAATGGTTTTTCAGGCGAGAATGTGATTGTTTAAAACTCAAATCTGCAGTTTATAAAGATAGCGCCTATTTGAAAATTTGCTATGCCAATTTCGGAGCTCCAGGTGATCAGCGGGCACTCAGTGCTCATGTATCCGCCGAGAGCAGCCTCAACTCGTCTAGTCCTTCCGACATTTGCCGCTGGCTCTGATGTCTCTGTAGTGATTAAAGTAAACATGAGATACAATTCGTTTTGGGTAGGCTATATTTAACAGGCATTCGTGGTCTCATGAATCTATTATTTATTCCTGGTCATATCGTTTTGGCTGAGCACAAAGTTATGTTTAACTTCATATATTTATTTATTTTGAACTTTACCATAGTACAGCGCTGACTTTGTAGCATACGTTTGACTGAACTGTTTGCTTTTGTCTTTATTTCCTCTTATATAAGCCTCTTATACTTTGTACTTATACTTTTATAATGGCTATTATTGTTCATTAAAACTGACATTTAACAAAAAGAGGCAGAGTTGTGCTTATTGTCGCGGTTCATCGTCGATCGCTACTTTCCGGCATACACCAAGCCTATCAAGTAGGGTACTATTGGCAGTGGAAACGCAGGCCTGATCAGGGTTACCCGTACCGAATCATACTGTACTGAACCGTACCGCTCAGTGGAAACGAGCCATAAGTCAAATAATGAGAAAGAACCAAATTGCCTATCACAGCTATGCATTGTATGTGGGGGGGAGTGAATGACCAGCGCTCTTTTCCACCCTCAATACCACGACTGACGTGAGACCCTTGAGCAAGGCACCGAAACCCCAACTGCTCCCCGGGCGCCGCAGCAATATGGCTGCCCACTGCTCCGGGTGTCTGCTCCAGGTGTGTGTTCACGGTGTGTGTGTGCACTTGGATGGGTTAAATGCAGAGCACAAATTCCGGGTATGGGTCACCATACTTGGCCACACGTCACTTCACTTCACTTCACTTCACTTTATTTATTAATTAACGCCCTGCAGGAAACTTTCTCAGAGTATTCATGAATCATTAACAGAACTGAACATCACAATAATTTGCTAGATGCACATACTGTCGACAGTCCCTGATGTGATCGTGTGTGCTTTGATATTAGTATGTGTTTTACTGAGACTCACTTGAGCTCCTTCAGTTCTCGCACTGCGTCATTCTTCTGTTTGCGAAGGTCGTCCATGTTTCTCAGAGCGTCGGCGAGATCGCTCACGGCTCGGTCCCTCTCGCGACGCAGGTTATCACACAACGTCCTGAAACACAAACACAGTAAATACACAATTCTGATTATTGTTTCATAGGACTTGATGAACACTACTGGGCCTGTTTTTTGGAGCTAAAATAGTCTCAAAATTAATGCATTTACATATGCAAGATTATTCAATGTGTAAGATAATTCACATTCACAAAATACAGTTTGCAAAAGAAATGGAGCTGTATTATTAAACTTTTGTTTTGATGCTTTGATGCTCTGTTTTGATGATCGTCGTTGACTCATGTATAACAGAATCAGAGGTATAACAGGATGTTGTCGTTGCATTTATTCACCGTATGCTCTCTCTCTCTGCTACGATCTTGTCTCTCTCCTGGAAGGCCCAGTCTCTGCGGCACTTGGCCACTTCTGCCTCCTGCACAGCCTCCTGGAGCTCCTCCGAAACAGCCTCGCACTGCTTCCTCAGAACCTCCAGCTCCTTACTTACACGCTCCATGTCCAGCGTTGCGCTGTCCTGCTTCTGCAGGGAGACAAATGAGATTAAATAAGACCCCTAACGCACATACAGTGGTGGCCAAAATTATTAGAACACTAGTATTTTCAGCAGCTAAAAATGGTTTTAAGTCAGTTATTTCTATCTTTTGCTGTAGTGTGTCAGTATGAAATATCAGTTTACAGAAACAGAACAAACTGAGACAGACTAAATCCAGAAGAACTGTGGCAACATCTCCAAGATGCTTCAAGAAACCTCCTGCAAAGCTACAGTACTGTTAAAAGTTTTAGGCACTTGTGTAAAAATACTGTAAAATGAGGAGCCTGTCACAAATAATGTCATAAATAGGTTTTCTTTATCAATTAACTTCTATTTCCTAAATTAAATCAACATTTGGTGTGAGCATCCTTTGCGTTTAAAGCAGCTTTTGCCCTCGGTGCACTTGAGCAGAGTTTCTCAGGAAGCTTTGCAGGTGGTCTCTTGAAGCATCAGTTCTTCTGGATTGAGTCTGTCTCAGTTTGTTCTGTTTCTTCATGTCACTCCAGACAGACTGATGATGATCAGATCACATCTCTGTGTGGAGCACTGGCTGTTGTCAGACAAAAATCTCACTGGATTGTTACAATTAATGGCAAAATGAATGTTTGTAAATGTAAACTTTTCCTTCTGACACTACAGCAAAAGATAGAAATAACTGACTTAAAACCATTTTTAGCTGCTGAAAATACTAGTGTTCTAATCATTTTGATGGCCACTGTATACAAGTCCAGGTTTAAGTCATTGTACCTGTCTGGCCTGATAATACTCTCTCAGGAGCTGGTCTCTCTGGATGATGGCCTCTGTTCGCTCTTTACGGGCCACGTCGCGCTCCTCTCGCACCATCTCGATGTCCTTACAGGCCTGGCTCAGCTCCTTCTGCGTCTCGGCTTTGTCCTGCACCTCGTGACAGTATTTCTCCAGCAGCTCGGTCTTCTCTCGGATCGCCCGGTCCCGGTCCAACAGAGCCGAGTTCAGCTCCTGCACACAACGCAACAAACATCAAACCACCAATAATTACAATAATTCTATGACAAAGAGGCAGTGCTGGGAAGGCCAGGTTTTTTAGAGGTTATTTGGGATTCAAACTCAACCCTAAATATAAGCAATAGCAGCAACAGTGATTACTGCCTGAGCAAAAACAATATACCACTGAGATTAAATAATTTAATCAAATCAGTTTTACATCATATATCATATTTAATAAATTAGTTATCTAGATTAATACTGAGAAATATTTTTTTTAATTACTTAATGAAATTACAAAAAAAAGATAAATAGCATAATTTAAATAAATGTGTATTTAGTTAATTGAATTAATATTTTATATATAAATATTAATTAACTAAAAACGTTCGCTTTCAGTGCTATCAGGCTAAAGTTAGCATTTTCCGAGATCTACTGCACCTTTAAATATTAAGATTAATACTGAGATATATTAATTTTGTTATATTTCAAAAGAAATTATATTTTATAAACATACTTAGCAGTATTTAATATTTAATATTAAACTATTTAATTAAAAATGATATAAACAACAACTTAAAGAACTAAAATATATCCAAATTAATTTTTTATATTTACAGTATTATTGATTTATTTAAATATGTCTTAGTTATTTAGATTAAAACTAATTAAATATTTCAATATTAAATCATTTATTTTGTTAAAAATTAATTTTAAAAAAATACACAAATGACACACATGGACTTCTAAACACTTCTGATTGAACACTTTTGTCTGTGAGTCTTTTGAATCTTTTATTCAAATCTTCTAAACGAAAATTTTTTTGAATCACATGGATCGGAATTGAATCACAATTCAAGGGGAGGCATGTTTGATTATTGCCTCTGCTCTACAAAAGATTACACCAGTAAGCAAAACCATTCGCAAGCATTTTCATTAGGGCTGGGCCAAAAAAAAATCGATTTTCCGATTAATTGTTTTTTTAAATGACGTCGATTCGATATCGATTCTCAAAAGCCGCGAATCGATCTTTTCCAGTATTTATTTCAGCACACATTTCAAACAAGATCTGATTAACGTGAATCTTATCATTAGTCTTCTCCACTAGATGTCACCCTTGTTTACCTTGCGCGATGTTACAACAGAAATCCTGTCATTCATTCAGCACTTATCATGGCCATACACGCAATTCGCAATGCTCAGGTGAAATGCTATAGTAATACTATAAATCTGCGGAAGCATTTGATATCACGCATAAGGCAGCTGCTCTGAGAGTCATTTCATTAGCATTTACCATTTCATTCATATCACATACACAGCAGCTGCAAGTTCTTCACGGCAACCCGTCAAAATAAAAGTTTAGTTTAACGTTCTACTGTCAGAATATATTACAATTTAGCAGTCTTAAGACTACTACTGCTAATAAATATTAATAAATCTTTATTTTTAAAGGAATAATCACATCTGTTTTCTTTTTCATTTTAACAGTAAACCTCTGTTGTGCAGCACTTTGTTTGCCAAAAAATAAAAGGGTTTAATTTTCATTTGATTAGGATAAATTAAATTAATGTTTTATGCCTTCATCTGATTACCAGAAAAATTAAGAACATTTTATAGGGCCCTATTATTGTTTAAAAAAGGACCCTATACAAAAAAAAGAATAGGTTTAAAATACAGGCATGTGGTTCTTAATTTCTTTTTATTAATTCACCATTTGTAAACTGATGTTTACTGTTAATTTTTTAGAAATATCAAAAGCATTTGTATTAAAACTATATTCACTGAATGTAATAAAAAAAAACAGAAAAGAAACGAACCGAGAGCTTGCGAATCGAAATCGAATCGAATTAGGACATCTGAATCGATACCCAGCCCTAATTTTCAGTGACTGTCGTCTTCAGTAGTTGCACGTGTTTGACCTGTCTGAGAGCCTCGATCTCCTCGCCGGCGACCCTCCTCTCGCTAGACGTGTTCTTGAGTCTGGCTTCAGCCGCATCCAGTCCGGTCTGGAGTTTATCCACCTCTTTGATGACCTGATCTCTCTCGCTCATGATCAGCCTGTATTCGTTGAACACGGAGTCTCTCTCCTCCTTCAGCTTCTCGGCATCTTTCACGGCCTTCAGCTGCAGCATCTTATAGCGCGTGTTCTCCATCTGCAGCCGATCGGTTTCTCTCTGCAGCTCCTCGTTCTGAGCGGACGCCTTATTCAGCTCCTGCTGGAGACTCTCGAACCTGAAAGAGACCAAAATGTCATCCTAAAGGCCTTTTCACACTGAACGCAAAAATTCAGCGTGAATGTTCGGCACGATGACGCTTTTGAATCGAAACAATAGATCCCTATGGGGCTATTCACACCAGGCGCGATCATTCGTGAAGTGAAAAAGCGAGGGGTTTTTTTTTCGTCCTGTGTGTTGATTTTTTCCCCGTCGCTCCGCAGCGAAACGGGCCGCCCAATCAGATTTGAGCTAAGATCACGTGCCCGGAGCAGCACAAAAGGGAGAGAGTGGTGGCGCTGTTGCGAAAACCAGTTTAAACAAACACCGAAAAAGAGTATTCTGAGAGAGAAGAGGATGCTGAGTTCTTGTTATCATTGGGATCCGAGAACAGATTTATTCTCACATGTTCTTTATACAGAATATCAAATATCATTAGCACTGTCCGTTTTCTTCCACGTACGCGAGTGTTATGAGTCAGAGTGCGTTCACTCTAGATCTGTCAATCATGGGATAATATCTCCTGCCATTACGTATGAAAAAATGAGAGAAACATTTTTCTAGAAATTAAATTTGAGAGCAAATAGACATTATGGCGATATTTTCTGTATGTGTTTAATGCAGCTCATGATATTTTTATAAAAATAAAGGATGTTTATGACAAATGAGAAGCAGGTGTCACGTTCAATCCATTATAAAACATACAATGCCTATCATAGAATAAAAATCCACTTTAGATCTCAATCAGAAGTTATTACAAAAACTCAATAATGGTTTAAAGTGGGTTTTAAGCAAAAACAAATAAATCACATACATTTTCAAATGTAGCTTGATGCTAATTGTACCTCTGTTTATATTTTAAGATGTATTCTTGTAAGCATTGTAGAGAGTTTCTGTTTCTGGTGAAGAACCAAACTTATTATACTATCTTATAATAGTATATTATACTATCTTAATTAAATGCTGTACATTGAGCAGCGGACCTTATTACGAGATGCATATCTGAGGGAAAATGCATTGTTGGTCGGCGCCACCTAGCGTGCAGGCATGAATTAGCAGAAGGCGATCAATCATTTCGCACTCGGTGTGAAAGCGCCGTTCTTCGACGATTCGCCTCGCTTTTTCGCATCGCACTCAGTGTGAAATAGGGCTGTCAAAAAAAAAAAATCACATTTCGAATATTCGACAAATTTAAAATAAAAATCCACATTCGAAAATGTGGCTGTTTATTTTAAATTCAACGAATATTCTAAATTTGAATTTTTTTTTTTTTACAGCCCTATTTCACACCAAAGCTGAACCCAAGCCTTTCACACAGAACGCATATTTATCGCATTTTCTATAGGGACATCTACTGTATCACCGTTGCACTCGCGTCTCGCACATGTTTAGAAAGCCATGTAAAATTAATACAAGTTCAACTTTTAAAAAACATGTCTCGAGACTTTATGGCAGTTTTTTCCCATCCCACTGCATCTCATGTTTTTAAATGAAAAAAGTACTCTATGTGATTGGTTTTCGGTCCTTTGTATTAAACTATACATACATACATACATGATGCTGTTTTGTTTCTAATTGTTTAAGAAACTTAAGTAATTATATATGGTTTATAAACCTTATTTTAAACATTATGCACTTTTTTTGAAGATAGTCATGTTATTTTATTGCTTTGAAGAAACGTGCATTAGTAATATTTTGCTCGATGCGCCCTCTTGTGGCCTCAGGAGAGAAGCCAAAAGCTTTTTTCCCCCCAAACTGAAATTATACCTTTTAAATTAGAATATAATTCGATATTGATCATATTTAAAGTACAAAATTCGAATTTAGATTTTCAGCCATTTTGACAGCCCTAGTGTGAAATGGCCTTAACGGGGCCAAATGTTCACGCAAAGATAGAAGGCGTTACTTTTATTCTCGCTGTAGAATTGTTGTTGCCGCCGCCATGTCGTGAAGACGCTGTGTGTTTCGTTGTGAAAGCGAAACTACTTTGTTTGGTCTTCCAAAAGAGGACACGACTAGAAATCAGTGGTTAAGTTGTATTTACAACACTGTTCCATCATAATATGGTAAGGGCCGTAACATTTCCGTCACACGCTTGAGGTATTCGGCCAATCACAACGCACTGGATAGCTGGCCAATCACAGCACACTTCGCTTTTCAGACCGATGAGCTTTGCAAAAATCGAGCGTTTCAGAAAGGCGGGGCATAGAGGAGAAACAATAATGTACAGTATGTGGAAAATAATGTGTTTTTTTAACCTTAAACCGCATAAACACATTTCATTACACCAAATACACAAAATAATGTTCTTTTTAGCAACATCATATAACCCCTTTAACAGAATCGAAACCTCTTGAATGACTGATCATGACAGCACTATGTAGGATGCGAGATGAGTACCTCCTGACGGAGCCGCTGTACTGCTGCTGGAAGTGCAGTGCCGAGTCTCTCTGCTTCAGCAGAACGTCCTGCTGTTTCTGCAGACGCCGGTTCTCCTCCTCCATCTGCTCCAGGTGGCTCAGATCGGCGTTGTGGCTCGCCGTTTTCTCGTTGTATCGTTTCCTCAGGGCATCGTACTCTTTCTTCATCCCCTCTAGCTTGTTTAAGGCCGTATCGTAAAGCTTATTCAGCAGTTCGGAGGAGCCATTCTCCCTCATGACCTACAGAGAAATAAAACACCTTCAGCTCAAAAGAAACTGAATCCACAACTAAATCACAGAGTTGAGTAAATTTGGACTGAGAGAAAGCAGCATCACACCAGCGGATGGCACCACTGAGTCACAAGTCTGCTGACACAGAGGTCAAATGAGTCCAAAGAAAACCAGAGAATTATCAAATGAAACATGGACAGCATTTAACTATAATATAGATTATTAATAAGGACATCATGTCTCCATCATAATTTGACTGGATTGTAAAAATACAAATGATTCCACTGGTAATATTTTCAATCTGGCATTTCAGAGATTCTGAAGATCCCATTTAAAAATCACATTTCAATAAAAGATCAAGAACAATATCTGTGTTATTTTTGTATTATTTATATACTATTATAGTTTTCCTTAATATTTTGATATTACCTTTTATTTATACTATTATTTATTTTAGGTTTCTTTTACATATTTTTATTTTTATTTCAGTTTTAGTTATTTCCAATAACTAAATTTAGTGCTTTAACTTAAATGTATTAGCTGAATTTATATATCATATAATAATATTTATATATTTATTTAAATATGTATTAGTTATTTGGATTAATATTTAAATATTTAATTAGTTTTAAATAAGTTTAGTTATTATTAATTTTTTTAATTATTATTTAGATATTATTTTTTTTTAATTACTTTTTTAAAAAATCAGTTTTTATTTATTTTTTTATTTTTTTATATTACCATGGAGGTTTCATTCATTTTTATTTTTATCTTACTTTTTGTTTTAGTTCAGGTTTATATCTTTATTTCCATTTTTTAAGTAATTTTACTGATTCAATTCAATTTAAACTTATCAGTAAACTCTCCATTTCCATTTTTTCATTTGTTTTCTGTTTTATATCAGCTTTATGTCGATTAGCAAAAACAATTTTTGTTCTGTATTATTTATAAGAATATTTATTAATACTTTGAATTAGCATTTAGATTTTCAGTTCTTATTTAATTTTTTTGTAATTTTATGTGCTTGTGATGTGTTTGTGCTTTTTCATTTAAAAATGACAGTACTAGGCTGAACAGAGCGCCTGGTATTGTGCTTACTAACATCAACACTCTGACAACAATATCACTGCGAACAGATCAGATATATACCTGATACCTGCAAACTCACAAGAGGTCAAAAAGGTGACATAGTTCAGAATATAAACCTTGTAGGGGGGTCTAGGGGTGTGAGTAACAGTTGGGAAAACAATGCAGTGATCGCGTCGGTGCCTCACACGCACATACACATTTTTTTTGCTAATTTGACATCGCAGCCTGTTCATTATCAAAATAAAATGCAGTTAAAAATACATAAAAAGTTACACTGCTCAATTTAAATAGTCCATAGTACAGTCTGTGCCGTTCAGTGTGACCAGCCTCACTGCTGATATAGTCTATATGTGAAGGATGATGTTTTGCGTCGATAATGCGAGTGAAGAACAAACACTATAGTTTACATAATAAATAATAGGTTAGCATCCAGATACTTCATGAATGTGGATTTCTCATGCAGAATGAGATAGGTAGGCTTCAGTTTCGTTTTTTTTTTATATATAAATATACGTTTTATTAATTTTCACTTTATAAAGAAATAACATCCTTGCAAAATAATGATATTCAGTTTCGTTTTTAAATTAAATCGTTTTGGCTTGACGCTTATATTTAGCCTAAATACAACTTTAGAGGATTTGTTGTGGAGAGAAGGGAACTAAAATAGCCTAATTATGTTTGTAATTTTGCTTTTATTTAGTATTATTTTAGCCTACATTATTTCTGAATGTAATAATAAAATGCAACGTACAGCCTACTAATATAGGCTGTTTTTTTCCTCTCAAAAAGCTTATAGGAGTAGCGTTTTTTTATCCATGCTGAAACATTTTTAAATATCTTGAAAAAAAATCTTTAATGTTTTTATTGTGTTGACAGTTTTTTCTTTTGTTTAATACATGTGGTCTTTGGTTAATCTAGAAAATATTATGCTGTATTGGCTATGACTAAGAGAGATCATTCAAGACTCTCTTCATGATTAATGATTTAATAAATTAAACGCTGTACTTTATTATTATTATTGGCAAAGAAAAAGTTTTAAAAAATAACGTTATTAACCGGCAGTGGCAGAGCCAGGATGTTTTCACAGGGGTGGCCAGAGAGGGGCCAGCAACCAGTCTGGGGTGGCACATAAATCTTCATTATTCAATATAAAAATGTGTTTGACTATAATGTACTGGACTGTTTTAGTGCCTAAAACACAACTGAGTACAATTAATTTCTACTTAACTGTAATTGAGATATTTGTGAATTAAATCAAGTAATACTGAGTGAATATGACAATTTTTGTATTATTCCTCACCTCCAGGTATTTTAATAAAGGGGCTCACTATAGCTTTATTGCTCATTCAGCTTCTCAAAACTCCCAAATGCTTGCTCTCCAACATTGCATACTCATGGATGAGACATGCAGATAGTGATACAAATGTGAAAAAGGCCGGAAGTCAACAGCAGACATAAATGCCAGAATATAAAATGAGTTATTTTATGCATTTAAATGGTTTCATTTTCGCATATTTTCTAGTATAAGTGCACTGTGCTCACATTTATTTGTGCATTAAATTACAAAAAATATATATATATATATATACATATCAGCTTGTGCCTTACATTGTGATCTTGAATTGTAGAATATATTTCAGTATGCATTTGAGAGACGTTCTTGTGTGCTGCGTATACATGCACAGTTTGCAGCTTTAATCACCTTTTTGGTAATTTCATGACTTAGCTGACGACAGAACTAGGTATGTATGCTCATAGTTTCTTGTGTGGGTTATTTATGATGAAGTGATATAGAGCATGCACCACATATTTGCGTACTGTTGAAGAGTGTGCGCCGTGAGCACAGTAAACGGCTGATGGGACAGGAAAGTGTGTTTTACAGACATATAGTCTAACAACATCTCATCAGACCGCAGTTCACAGTTGTTCTACTGAAGCTCATTTGGCTGCTGTAGCTTTTCCGCGCTTGTTTGACTCGCGCCTGTGAAGCTGAAATGCGCGTCTGAAAATTCTCCCGTTTGGTGTGGTCACAAAGAGATACGGCGGTTCTGCATCTTAATAAATGCATTTCTTGTCAAGAAAAAAAAGGGACAAAAACTGCAGTTTTGAGTGGGGTGGCCAATGGGGCCACTGTTAACCGGTATGTACTCAAACCGGTTTCACATAGGAACGCAGGAACAGAAACGTTCAAATACCGATTCTGCTCGGAGTGAACTACTCTTTTTTTTCCCTCGTTTTTAAGCCCTGCTTTATGCAATTGACCAATATCGGTATCGGAATCGGCCAATAGTTGTTTGTTAAAATCGTATCGGCCAAAAAAAATCCTATAGGTGCATCCCTATGCTAAACCTCATCATTCTCCTCAGAGTTGTGTGTGCATGTGTGATTTGTACCTGTTGCTGCTGCAGGCGCATGTCTGCCACCTCGCGCAGGTCGTTATCATGGACACGGCGCAGCTCGTCGCAGGTCTGCTGCAGCTGTGAGTGCTGCTGCAGGAGCTGAGAGTAGTTCTGCTTCATGGCCTCCATCTCGTCCCGCAGCTGCGTCTGTTCACCGACCGCACGCCCGTGAAGAGTGCTGAGAGACGCAGAGTCGCACAAGTTAACCAATGCATCAGTGGACAGAACAACAAATTAAGCTCAGTTAAATGTGCCAGATAAAATGATGACATGAGTTTACAAAATGAACATTTGTTGAAAATTAACTTGGATGCTCTGCAGTGAATAGGTGCCGTCAGAATGAGAGTCCAAACAGCTGATAAAAACATCACAATAATCCACAAGTAATCCACAGCACTCCAGTCCATCAGTTAACATCTGGAGAAGACAAAAAGCTGAAACAAATCCAGCATTAATATGTTTTTAACTAAAAGACGAGTCTATAATCCATAACACTTCCTCCAGTGAAAAAGTGCATCTCCTGTTGTCGCTCACAACAAAATCCAGCCACATATTTGTTTAGAGGTGTTTTGGACTGTTTTAAACGCTGCTTGATCTGTGCAGATTTCTCTCCTGATTCAGACCAGATGACTTTTTGGAAGTGGAGGAAGCATTATTATGAATTATGGACTCGTATTTTAGACATCAAAAACATTTTAATGATAGATTTGTTTCCACTTTTGTCTTCTCAAGATGTTAATGTCAAATAAGGGATCTGCACTCGCGATATCTTTTTAATGACTTGTAATTTATTTTAATTTTGCAACAGAGCAATCAACAATCAGACATTTCAGCAACAAGCCTTCTTCAGTGAATCATCATCTTCTCAAGATGTGAACTGCTGGACTGGAGTTGTGTGGATTACTTGTGGACTATTGTGATGTTTTTATCAGCTGTTTGGACTCTCATTGGATTACTTGTGGACTATTGTGATGTTTTTATCAGCTGTTTGGCTCTCATTCTGACGGATGGTAATCTTTAATCAAAATCTGAACATTTGCTTCCGCTCTGGAATGGCATTGCTTCTCTGAGGACGTCAGTTTGACGGCTCGGGCAGAATATTATTTTAAACACACCCCTCCAACCGTTAGCTTGCTATGAGTGAGAGACAGAGAGGAGGAGCGCTAAAATAAAACCACGGCCTCTATTCAATATTCCGTTTCAGCTGGAAATACGTCACTACACTGAAATAAAGTCGGCAGCAACTTCCGGTTCACGCGGACTTTAAGGCCAGTGTCGATATCTTACAGAGCAGGGTGGCTGATGGTCAATATAAAGCCAGTGTATATGATATTACAGCATTTAATTTAAATACCATGAATAACATTTGCTGCAATGAAATTTGAATTTATTTTACAAAATTACTAAATTGGAAAAATTTGTAAAATGAGTCAATATAAAAAATTACACACACACACACACACACACACATACATATACATATATATCTATGCTTTGGCAACTTATTGAGTGCACATGTGATATATTTATATATTTAATTTATACAAATATTTAAATTATATTAATATTTAATAATTAATATTATTATTATTGACAATTCATAAAAATTAATAATACTATATAATAACTTAAAGACATTTGTGACCCTGGAGCACAAAAGCAGTCTTAAGTCGCTGGGGTATATTTGTAGCAATAGCCAACAATACATTGTATGGGTCAAAATTATTGATTTTCTTTTATGCCAAAAATCATTAGGATATTAAGTAAAGATCATGTTCCATGAAGATATTTTGTAAATTTCCTACCGTAAATATATCAAAACTTAATTTTTGATTCGTAATATGCATTGCTAAGAACTTCATTTGGACAACTTTAAAGATGATTTTCTCAATATTTGGATTTTTTTGCACCCTCAGATTCCAGATTTTCAAATAGTTGTATCTCAGCCAAATATTGTCCTATCCTAACAAACCATACATCAATGGAAGCTTATTTATTCAGCTTTCAGATGATGTATAAATCTCAATTTCAAAAAATTTACCCTTATGACTTTTTTTTTTTGTGGTCCAGGGTCACATTTATGCTTTAGCAACTTATTCTGTAATCCTATTATTATTTTTCACAAACTAAAGCAACAAATATGAATAAAACGCACTAAGAGTCATATTTTCTAAATAATATTACTGTCAAAATAAAAGCTTAGCTAAACAGATAAATTTATCAGATGCAGGTAATAAAAAAAAAAAAGACAAATCTCAGCCGATATATCGATCTACTGCTAGACATGTTATGAGTTTTATATGGTTAGAAGAACAAACTACCCTCATAAAAGGTAAAAACGTCCCTTGATAATCAACTCTAGGTGGAAATATATATATACGGTTAAAGCGCTCACTGGTAGTAATCGGCGTCTCTCACGGCCTCCTCGCATCTCTTCAGGGTTTTGGTGTGCTGGTTCTGGAGTCATTTGGTTCACACACAAAAGAGTGTGTTTTTTCAGGCTCTATCAACATTCAGGTGAAGAGACACAAAAACAGAGTAAAAAGCCTCATTTATGAAATAGTAATGAAAGTAAACATACTTTATTTATACACTTAAAGCACTCTGTCCAATCTCACGCTCAGATAAGAAGAGATGGACTGTCTAGCAGGGTTACAGTGTTTGAAAGACTGAGACTGGACACAAGAAAGATCTGAAATCTCCAGTTCAGTAACAAAAACCCTGTTCAATCTCTTCTACAGTTAGCTGGCTCACAGCATGAGATGAGTTACTACAGCTACACTTACAGCCCAGTGTTAATTTAGTATCATTATATACTTTTATAGTATTTTTTTTAACATTTTAAATTAGATTTTAGTTTTATATTTAGAGTTTTTATTTTTATAATTACACAGTTTTAGCAATTTTGTTGTTTTGTGCTTTTCTATTTAACTGCAATTTATTTTTATTTCAGTTTTACAGTAATTTTGGCATTTCAACCTAAACTTATTTTATTACAGTTAGCTGCCAAGGCAACATTTCATTTTTTTTTAAAGTGGAATTTTGTTTATTTAGTATTTATTTTAAATTGGGTTTTTTTTTGGTAACACTTAAGGTGTCCTTGATACACGTTATATGTACTTACTATTATAATAACAACAATAAATTATGCATAATTACATGCATGTAACCCTAAGCCAAACCGTAATCCTAACCCTAACTATATAGTAAGTACACGTAGTTAATTAATATTACTCAGTACTTAAATGTATAATTACACTGTAACAAAGACACCTTAAAATAAAGTGTAACCTTATTTTTATTTCATTTTAGTTTTAGTAATATTAGTACTTCAACCTAAACTAAGGTGAAATTTTTATCTAATATATATTTTTTTTTTTTTCAATTAATGAAAACATTTTGTAGTAGTTTTAGTTAACTAAAAACCATTAAAATAAAATAAAAAAAAAGACATTAACTGAAAGTGAAAAATATTAAAACCTACTTTTATTTCAAGGCAAAATTTCTCATTTTTATTTAGTTTAACTTTATGTAGTATAATAACTAAAACTGAAAAATTAATAAAAACTGTACAGACTTAAAAACATACATTTAAAAAATATATCTCTAAAAAAATATAATAAATATAAACAAAAATACTAATAAAAATGGCAAAAACATACAAATACATTTTGAAAAATTGTAACTAAATTTAAAATGAAAACAAAAAATAAATTCAAAATGTTAATAAAAAACTATAATAGTATCTCAATGATACTAAAATACTGATACTAAAACACTGGTTAACAGTACAATACTGGTTACTGTACCTGCAGTCGTCGAAGGTGGTGCCCGGCGAGGAGAGGGCCAGTCGTTTGCGCAGGTCGTCTCGCTCGCGGGTCACCTGTCTGAGCTGGAGGTTCACCGTCTCCAGTTTCTCACTCATCACATGCTTATCCAGGTGAGCAGGAGGCGGTGAGGATGCTGGGAAAGACATGCGTATCAGTGAATAAAATTACAAATAATATATTGTACACTATATATGTACTTCACTTCTGAAGAGGGAAATGGTAGGCAGGTGTAGATGCACAGAGCTTTCAAATGCAGATCTGAAGACAGTAGGCCAGACATGTCGGGTTCATAAACTTTTGCTTTCAGTTTGAGATTCAGCTCAGTTGCTGTTCATAGCTCATACAGATGTTATGAATAAACAATGATTTTATCTGGGCCACTGACGACCCGTCCCACATCCCTCACTGCACAAAATAACAGAGCAGTCTGTCTCGTTTTAGACGTCTAACGGACAGAAGCGTCTCTCAGCTGGTGTCTGAGTTCGCTCAGTGTTTTTCCCAGTCAGTCCCAGATTTTCGCACCAGTAGGATGTCAGGAATATGTGCAGCACTTTAAATCATACACTACCATTGAGTTTGTGAAAGACGTGTCTTATGCTCAACAATTATACATTTATGTGCTCAAGTATACAGTAAAATTGTGAAAAAGTATTACAATTTAAAATAGCTGTCAAATATATGTTAAAATGTAATTGATTGCTGTGATCGAACTGTATTTTCAGCATCATTACTCCAGTCTTCAGTGTCACATTATCTTCAGAAATCATTCTAATATGTTGATTTGCTGCTCAAGAAACATTTCTGATTATTATCAGAGTTGAAAACAGTTGTGCTGCCCGATATTTTTTTGTGGAAACCATGATGCATTTAATTTTTCAGAACTCTCTGATGGATAAAAAGTTCAAAAGAACAGCATTTATTGTAAAATCTGAAATCTTTTGTAACATTATAAATGTCTTTATTAGTCATTTTAATTTGTCCTGCTGGATAAAAGTATTTTTTTTAATTACCGACCACAAACTTCTGAACAGTAGTGTTTACGTATAATCCTGATTTAGAAAATAATATAAAAGTCCTTCCATAATTTATAATTTCTTTATTTTTTAACCACGCTAGAATCCAAGGCTATGAAAAAAAACGGGATAAAAAAATAGGATTTTTAATGTCCAATTTTAATAATAATTCTAATGTCTGCAGACCGATTAAAAAATATATTTAAATTATATTTTTTTTAAACTCTACGATAAAAAAAACTGTAAAAAATCCTTATAAATATACATATTTATAATAGCATATTTTCTCAAAAAAAAAAAATAAAGCCAATTTTAAAAGAATTAAAACTTTTTGTACTGTGACATTATTTCCATGACAATTAAATGCATTTCCCTCCCAAAAAACGTAATTTCTCATTATTGCAACGCCAAAAACAAATAATATTAGAGCTATAAAAAAAATGAGATGCTATATAATGTTTCTGTCGGATAAAATGACCAAATTACCCACGCCTAACAAACACACAAACACTGACCGGACTCACCGACGCTGCTGAGAGAACTGCTGCTCTCCGAGTCCGACGGCATCGCAGACAGAATGCTGCACGTGGAACCTGAAGCAAACAAACAAACATCAGCATTTACTCCAGCGTCAGAGAGTGCATGAAATCTGAGAGCATCTGTCCAGTGCGGCTGCGTCTCAATCTGTGTGCATCAGTATACACTGAACATGAATACAGGCCTGATCCTCTAAACACAGAGACGCGTGAATCAAGTTTCAGTGCGCTGGAACCACGTTAACAATGAAGCGGCCGACTCTCTGGGCAGGGAACGTACTGCACGAGACACACCTGTGAGAACGGTCGGACATCTCTACTTCAGCGCAGTCAAAGACACACAGAGGCCTCCAGCTGAGTAACTCGAGCTGGTAATTAGGCTTGAATGGAGACTCAGTTTCTCTCTCAGGACGGGTCTGTTTATTTGCTCGCCTCTCTTTCGTTTCACTCCAGAGCAGCTCATGTGCTTCAATTATTTATTATTGAAATTATTTTGAAATACAGTTCTTGTCAAAAGTTTGTAACATTATGAATGTTTTTAAAGAAGTCTCTTCTTCTCAACAAGACTGCATTTATTTGATCAAAAATACAGTAAAAACAGTAATATTGTGAAATATTGTTGCAATTCAAAATAACTGGTTTCTATGTGAATATACAGTAAAGTGTAATTTATTTCTGTGATCAAAGCAGAATTTTCAGCATCATTACTCCAGTCTTCAGTGTCACATGATCTTCAGAAATCATTCTAATATGCTGATTTGCTGCTCAAGTATTATTGGTGTTATTAATAATGGTTCTTATCAATGTTAAAAACTTTTCATGAATAGGAAGTTCAACAGCATTTATTTGAACTAAAATGTTTTACTATCACTTTTGATCTATTTAATGCATATTTGCTGAATAAAAGCATTAATTTCTAATAAAAACACACACATACCCCAAACATTCGAATAGTAGTATTCGAATGCATTCATGTCTTCTGCATAAATCTGAAACAGCACAGCTGTTTTCAACATTGATGATAATCAGAAATGTTTCTTGAGCAGTAAATCAGTATATTAGAATGATTTCTGAAGATCATTTGACACTGAAGACTGGAGTAATGATGCTGAAAATACAGCTTTGATCACAGAAATAAATTAAATTTTACAATAAATTCACACAGAAAACAGCAATTTGAAATTCTAATAATATTTCACAATTTTACTGTATTCTTGAGCACATAATGCAGCCTTGGGGAGCAGTCGAGATATCATTAAAAACATTTAAAAATCATGTTTCCAAACTTTTGACAATTAAATGAAAGCCAGTGGGGTTCAGTGTTGTTTTGGACCCCATTGACTTTCATAATATGGACAAAACATCTTTTGAAATTTTTTTTTTGTGTTTTGCAGATGAAAGAACGTGATGAACGATCACAATTTTGACTATCAGCACAGTGATGTCTGTACAGCGGGGTGGGTTTTGTTTACCCAGCACCATCAGACACGTCCTGATCCGGTCTGATGACGCAGAGACACAGACAGAATGAGCTCTGATCAACTCTCCTTCACACACACGCTGAAAACACCACACAATTACAATTACTAATAACCATGATATCACCAATGCACTATGGTACTGGCAATTATATATAAGGGATGGTGATGGAAAGAGAAACATGCACTGAAAGTACATGAATTGATAATACATGAATTGGATTTACTCAGATGTTTCACTCCTAACACACCCATGCTGAATGCTGTTAAAATATGCAGGGAAATAATTAATACATCAGAGTTAATTAACACCTGAAGTTAATTATGAGCATCATGTTTGTGAGGTGTGACAGGGCTCAGTGTTACTATAGCGACAGATCCACACAGAGGCTGAGAGGAACTGGGTCAACAGACGGGAAAACAAGCAGACTGTGAAGTGATGCTGAACGTGCGCAAAATATAGACTTCTTAAAGTCTGATTCTAAACTGACTCATCCGAGCCTGGTTCTCAATCCAGGAGTCTGAATCTGAATCGATTCAATCCAGATAGTGTTGTCACGATACCAAAATGTAAGTAGTCGGCACCAAAACTAGTAAATTTCACGGTTCTCACTCGGTACCAGTCTCAGTACTGAAGCAAAAACCTTTGGAACTATTTTATTTAACTATTTAAAAAAAAAAAAAACATTAAATAAATGGGTTAATCAGTGCTGTTACTGTTAACTAAAACTATTAAAAAATATTTTGTTGAGTGAAATACAACTGAAAT